TAAATCTATAAAATAATAGGGCCCCTATTCTACAAGGGATGGAGCGATGAGGGCTCATCGCTATTAGGGTCGAAAATTTACAGTGTGCTGATTGGCGGAAATATTCCTTGGCGGTGCTGGGTGGAATTGATTTCAAGGGCTCATCGCAATTAGATTCTATGGGTGTATCATCCTGAAAATTTCATAGGTAGTATACCTAGCCTTTATTAATAACTGGATCAAATTTCAAGAGAATCTGACATAGAATAAAGAGATGGTTTGTGGTTAAATTCTACATAATCAACAGCCTGATTTTCGTGGGGTGCGGCGTATCCTACAAAGGATAGAGTAATAAGGGCTATTATAATTAGATTCTACCATCATAATTAGATCCTAAGGTGTATCATCCTGAAATTTTAATCGGTAATATACCTGGCCCTTATTAATAACTAGATCAAATTTTAAGAGAATCTAACTTAGAATAAAGAGGTGGTTAGTGGTTGAATTCTCATCATTAATAGCCGGATTTTCATCAGGTGCAGCCTCACGAGACTAACCATACCTTAGATTCAGGGGTAAAGATGTTTCTGTATCTTACTCATTCATCACTATTCATTCATGACTATCCATTCCATCCTTACTATCATGGAAAATCAATTATTTCATCAGGTGCCTACCTTAGGTATTCTTATCTGCCGTCAATGCAAGCATGGGGTACGACTAACAGAGGTTGAACAACATCTAAAGAAGAAGCACTCCCTAAAGCATGCAGTTGCAATCCAGATCACTGAGGCAATATCTAAATAGCAGGATATTCAGTATGATAGTAGCACTATCCAGATACCTCAAGCATTAGATGAGCCGCTGCCTATATTACCATCTCATTCTGATGGCCTGCGCTGCCTGCGTGATCAAACCAAATGCCAATATATAGCAGCAACAATTAAATCTATGCGAAAGCATTGGCAGGTTGTTCACCAGTGGTCCCAGCAGAGTCATCGCGGGCGGGTTAGCCAGAAGGAGAAGGCTAGGGGTGATACTGAGGTGCAGCAGTCATTCCAATATGTCTCATGGCAGCAGGTGTTTCCTAGTGGTCCCGGGTCCCATTATATCCATATTTGATATCCAGATGGAGTCCCCCCGCCCCCATCAATCCAGCGCGTGCAGGCTGCGGTAGATGAGGTGGTGCAGGCGTGGGAGCAGGCGCAGGCCCGCGCTCAGGCCGATCAGGCGATCCAGGCGAGCCAGTTGACTGACGCGAATCCCTGGCTGCGGATGACTCGGTGGGCGGACTATCTGCAGGGTATCCAGGCGCATAACCTACTTGCCTGCGTGGCAGCCCCGGAGGAAGATCCCCAGGATGCCACTGAGCAGTGCGTGCAGGTGATCTGGCATACAATGGAGCAGGTCGCCCGCAAGAGCCAGCAGACGGTCTAGCACTGCGGCCAGGCCATTCAGGTGGAAGCAGTCCAGTCTGAAAAAGGACAGACACCATACCAGCTACTGCTGGCGTATATGGATGAGGCGGCAATCCAGAAGCATGTCCATCCATGGCAGCAGATATTAGCATTCATTGCCCGCATGCAGGCGCCGCATGACTGGATAAGTCCAAAATATGGGATGACTGTGCGGCAGCGCCAGAAATGGCAGCAGCTGTGGCAGCTTGCTAGCCAGGCCGCAGTTCCAGGGGACCGGGAGGTCTCGGAGGACCTAGAGGTATGGGTGATGACCATGATAGAAAAAGCATGCTTAGAATTTTGCATTAAGCTGCTTAACCAGCGCCATCGCAGTCATGAATATGAGAGTGCATTAGTATGCGCCATGGCGGTGCTCAGTCAAGGTGAGGCTAGCTAGCAGGACCCTAAGAGCTACCCCCCAATATTATCCCGCGTGATCAAGGTGGCCCGATTCATAGTGGTCCAGAAAGCACTATAGATAGACCCAAATCCATGGCAGATCATTCAGACCTGGATACAAAAGGACCAGAGCACTGAATGGGTGCTAGCTAGCGCAGATGATCAACTTTAGGGAGATTAATAAGGGATATAGCAGTGATGACCCCCATCATCACCACCATCATCGCCCCATCATCCATCCATAGCGATGATCCATTACCGCAGTCCAACATTCGCCAGAGCCGGCGACCATTCCAGGAGCAGGTGACATGGATGATGCACCAGTTTATGATCTGTGGACACATGGCCCATGGAAACATTGCTAGACTAGCACACATATGGATTAAAGGTCCATTATAATCATACCGCGCCCGGACATGTGACATGGATAGGCGAGGACCAGTTATTATACCAGCAGATGGCGTTCACGATGGGGGATTTCAGGGATTCATCCATGGATTAGTAACTGCAGCAAGGGAGATACTAGGCCATTTATGCATGCAGGATCATGCGCAGATGCCTACCATTCCCTAGACAGCATTATATGACGATCCCAGCCAGAGCCAGGCAGGGTGGAACTTTCTGCACAATGCACGGACCCAGTGGCCGGTGGATGGGACCCACTAGATGATCAACTGGCTGCGGGCCGAGCCGGTCATGCAGCGGCATTTTCTGCGGGGCAGCTAATTCCACCCCACCACCATCCAGCAGTATTGGCAGCGCGTGGCCCAGTTTAAGGAGAAATTAGTAATTATCATGCATGTCACTGCAGGGCAGCCGGCCCAGGCCCCAGAGTTATTAAGCATTCAGCATTGCAACACAGCAAATAGTCAACAGCGGAATATATATATCAAGGATGGCATGGTGACATTTGTAACAGCATATCATAAGGGATTCCATGCTAGCAATGATATCAAGATCATCCATCAATATGTGCCGCAGGAGGTCGGGGAGTTAGTAGTATAGTATATATAGCTGGTGATACCATTCATTAATCAGTTAGCTGCATGGCAGGCGGCGCAGGCGGCGCAGGGAAGTCAGGCAGCGCAGGGAAGTCACACCAAGCAGGGAAGTCACGCCGTGCAGGGAAGCCAGGCCGCGCAGGGAAGTGATGCCACACAGGGGAGCCAGCCCACGCAGGGGAACCAGGCCATGCAGGCATGGTTATGGGGCCCAACCCCAGTACTGGCCGCGAATAGTCGTCTGAGCGGTTCCGGGAGGCGTTGAAACAGGAAACCCACACCCAGCTAGGCACCACCATCCATATCGCCGCATACCGGGACATCACCATTGGCATCAGCCACTGATTTTTGCGGCCGTCCACCGCGTTCCCCCATAATATCCAGGAGGCCGAGCCGGCCCCAGCTGCCATGGATGCTGATGCTAAGGAGGGCATGGATATCAAGCAGTGGATAGGCCATATTACTAATTTACAGGCCGCCCATTCATCACACGTTGCCGGCATGGTATATGGCCGTGTCATGCAGGAACAGGCCGGCAGCACAGCCCACCAGCAGGAGATGTTCCAGTTATCCAGCACCAATTAGCATCAGTTTTTAGGGTTTAGCACCCGGGCCACCTATCCATATTAGGCAAGCGCAAACAGGCCCCGTGGGAGGATGAGGCTGAGGTCAGCCGCATGGAACGCCGCCACCAGCTGGCCACTATAGATCTAGAGGCAGCCGCGCAGCACATGACTGGGCGGCCCGACATGCGGTTCCGGGGGTGCAGGACCCGGCAATGCAGGCCATCCAGCGGGGTGAGAGCCCTGTGGTGGCGGTGATGCCCACTAGTAGGGGGAAGAGCATGCTATTCATGGTGCCCGCGTTCACCGCCCCCAGGGGCACCACCATTGTTGTGGTGCCACTCATTGCATTACAGGCTGATATGACCAGGCGCTGCCAGGAGCTCAGCATATCATGTGTGCCATGGGAGAGCCGGCAGCCCCCCAATGCCGCATCCATCATGTTAGTGACGCCTAAATCCGCGGTGAGCCCTGATTTCCAGACATTTTTGAACCGGCTGCGGTGGACCCGGCGGTTAGACCGGATTGTGATCAATAAATGCCATGTGGTGTTGAATTCCCAACATAATTTCCAGCCCCAGATGGCTCAGCTGGGCTGGTTGGTCCAGGCCCGCACCCAGATAGTATGGTTAACCGCCACATTGCCCCGAGCATGGAGGCTAAATTATGCCAGCAGATGAAGTATGACCAGGCCACCATGACCATATACCGGGCCCAGACCAGCCGGCCGAACGTGGCATACCAGGTGTGGCAGCCAGACATGACCAGGGTGGGCCGGGGCCTATATCAGTGGATTAAGAGTGAGGTGGTGGTAGCATTCATTCAGGACCACATCCGACAGGCCGCTGGGGGGAAGGTGATTATATATGCAAATATCATCAGGCAGGTGACGGCCATGGCGCAGGTGCTTAGGTGCAAGGCATATTACAGCGAGCAGTTGGACAAGGCCGGGGTGCTGGCGCGGTTCATAGGGGCCAGCCCAGTGATCGCCACCACCAGCGCGTTAGGCATGGGGGTGGACATCCCCAATATCCGCAGCATCATCCATATTGGGACCCCCTGGACATTACTGGATTACGCGCAGGAGAGTGGCCGGGCTGGGCGAGATGGACAGCACAGTGAGGCAATCATTATCCAGCCAGCTGGGTGGGATACCCCAGCTCCATGGATGGAGGGCGTCGCCCCTAAGGACCAGGAGCAGGTTGCTGAGTATATAGGGGTGGTAGAAGGCATTGGGTGCCACCAGGTCATGTTAGATCAGTATTTGGATGGAGTGGTGGATGGGTATCAGCAGCAGTATTACCAGGATGCGGATCCCAGGGAGCAGATATGTGATGGGTATGATCCCAATTAGGCAGAGCTGGAGGTGGATCCAGCCAGGGTTGGTAGCAGCCCAGTGCCGGGTGAGGCAGCCCCAGAGGCCCCATGTGAGGCAGGCAGCGAGGCAGGCAGCGAGGCAGGCAGCGAGGCAGGCAGCAAGGCAGGCAGCGAGGCAGGCAGTAAGGCAGGCAGTAAGGCAGGCAGTAAGGCAGGGAGAGAGGCAGGGAGAGAGGTAGAGAGAGAGGTAGTCAGAGAGGCCCCATGCCAGGCAGGTAGCATGGTAGCAAGAGAGGCAGCCAGAGAGGCACCATACAGGGTGACCCCACCATCAGGCAGTCCCACCCCATCCAATAAGTCATTTTGCAGCCAGCCATCCATTCCCATGGCAGTATGGCACACCCAGCAGGCACAGGCCCAGCAGTGGGCCGCCATGGATATCCAGCAGCAGCAGCATCGGACCCAGCAGGGTTTGGATGAGGAGATGGCCCAGGCCAAATGCATGCAGTGGCAGGACCAATGTTATATATACGCCATGCAGGGGGTGATGGTGGCCATAAGTTATATGCATGTCATCAGCCCCACAGCCAGGCCGCACGGGCATGGATGATCCACGTGCATCAGCAAGTGCAATACACGCCATATAGCGCGTGTTATTCATGCGGTATGCCCCAATCCATATGCCATGGGTGGGAGCCAGGCCACGCATGCAAATACCGCGGGTTTTTGATCCCCATGGTGGCCATGATGTTATTCAGGCCATGGCAGGGCCAGATCAAGCCCATATGGCAGCGCTGGTTGCAGGGAATGGGGGTTGATGGGCAGGATGAGGCCCAGGTAGTCCAGTTTTTAGGGCAGGCGCACCCCAACCACAAGGGGCACAGCCAGTTATTTACATCATTTTATTGGTTATAGCAGTTATGTCAGGAGATCAAGGTCGATCAGCATTGATATATTTAGGAATGAATATATATTTTAGTATACCATAATGCGCAGAGATATATATTATACAGTTAGTTTATATAGTATGTTAGCTGAATTAGTGGTTTATACATATGCATATATATAATATCAACCATAGTTATGATAGACATAGGTAGTAGGTAGGGAGGGAGCAAGAGAGACAGTAGGTAGATAGTAAGGTAGGCAGTGAGGTAGACAGGAAGGTAGATAGGAAGGTAGACAGGGAGGTAGACAGTAAGGTCATGCATGAGGCAGGCAGCAAGACAGGCAGTGAGGTAGACAGAATGGGAGGCAGAATAGGAGGCAGAATAGGATGCAGAAGGGCAGGTCAAATAGCAGGGAGAACAGCAGGCAGTGAGGTAGTGATTAGGATAGCAAGCAAGGTAGTATAGTAGATTATAAGGCCCCAGGAAGGTCATGCATGAGGCAGGCAGAACAGCAGGCAGAAAGTAAGACAGGTAGTGGGGTAGATAGTGAGGTAGACAGCAAGGTAGACAGCAAGGTAGACAGCGAGGTAGACAGTGAGGTAGACAGCAAGGTAGACAGCAAGGTAGATAGCAAGGCAGGTAGTAAGATAAGCAGTAAGGCAGGTAGTAAGGTAGGCAGTGAGGCAGGCAGTGAAGGAGGTAGTAAGGCAGGTAGTAAGGCAGGCAGCATAACAGGCAGTAAGACCAGCAGGAAGAACCCAGTAAGATAGGTAGTATAGTAGATAGTAAGGCAGGCAGTGAAGCAGGTAGTAAGGCAGGTAGTAAGGCAGGCAGCAAGACCGGCAGTGAAGCAGGCAGTAAGATAGGTAGAATAAGGCCCAGGTAGTCCAGGTGGTCCAGGGTTTTAGGTTAGTGCATCCCAACCATGAGGGGCACCGCCAGTTATTTATATTATTTTATTTAGTACAGCAGTTATGTCAGGAGATCAGGTTGATCAGCATTAATATATTAATAAATGAATATATATATTTCAGGATACCATAATGCGCAGAGATATATATTATACATTTAGTTTATAGAGTATGTTGGCGAATCCATAGTTTATACGCAGGGATATATATATAAGTGACATATCAGGGAATATATATCATATTAACCATAGTTAGGAGAGAGGTAGGTAGCAAGGTAGACAGTAAGGTAGATAGTAAGGTAGATAGTGAGATAGGCAGTGAGGTAGGCAGTAAGGCAGGCAATGAGCAAGGGGGCAGCAAGCCAGGCAGTGAGTGAGGGGGCAGCGAGCAAGACAGGCAGTGAGCAAGCCAGTTAGTGAGTGAGGGAGGCAGTGAGATAGTAAGCTAGATAGTGAGATAGGTAGTGAGTGAGCCAGGCAGTGAGCAAGTGAGGCAGTGAACAAGCCAGTCAGTGAGCAAGCCAGTCAGTGAGCAAGCCAGTCAGTGACTAAGCTAGCAAGCAAGGCAGCGAGTGAGGGAGTCAGTGAGCAAGCTAGCTAGTGAGGCAGGCAGTGAGCAAGCCAGTTAGTGAGCAAGGGAGGCAGTGAGCGAGCCAGGCAGTGAGCAAGCCAGGCAGTGAGCAAGCCAGGCAGTGAGTAAGTGAGGCAGTGAGTAAGGGAGGCAGTGACCGAAGCAGTGAGTAAGGGAGGCAGTTAGTGAGTGAGGGAGGCAGTGAGATAGTAAGCTAGACAGTGAGATAGGTAGTGAGTGAGCCAGGCAGTGAGCAAGCGAGGCAGTGAACAAGCCAGTCAGTGAGTGAGCTAGCAAGCGAGGCAGCGAGTGAGGGAGTCAGTGAGCGAGCTAGCTAGTGAGGCAGGCAGTGAGCAAGCCAGTCAGTGAGCGAGGCAGGCAGTGAGCAAGGCAGGCAGTGAGCAAGCCAGGCAGTGAGCAAGTGAGGTAGTGAGTGAGGGAGGCAGCGAGCAAGGGAGCAAGCAAGTCAGGCATTAAGGCAGGCAGTGAGGGAGGCAGTGAACGAGGGAGGCAGGCAGCGAGCAAGTTAGGCAGTGAGCGAGCGAGGCAGTGAGTAAGGGAGTCAGTGAGCGAGGCAGTGAGCGAGGGAGGCAGTGAGTGAGCCAGCTAGTGAGGCAGGCAGCGAGCAAGGCAGGCAGCAAGTAAGGCAGTAAGTAAGGCAGGCAGTGAGTGAGGCAGTAAGACAGGCAGTGAGATAGATAGTAAGATAGATAGTAAGATAGATAGTAAGATAGATAGTAAGGTAGACAGTAAGATAGATAGTGTAGTCAATAGTAAGGTAGGTAATAAGGTAGATAGTAATTATAAATAGCATAGTAGATAGTAAGGTTAATAGTAAGGTAAGCAGTAAGAGAGGTAGTAATATTAGTAGATTAAGATTAGTTAGTATCCATATATCAAGTAATAGATATATATTAGGAGATCAAGGTTAATTAGGATTAATATATTAAGTAAATAAATATATATATTTTAGGATACCATAATAGCAGCAGAGATATATATTATATATTTAGTTTATATAAATATCCAAATCCATGGTTTATACATCCATATATATATATATAATTAGGTATCAGGGGGATATCACCATAGTTAGGAGAGAGATAGTTAGTAAGGTAGATAATAAGATTAATAGTATAGTAGATAGTGAGGTTAACAGTAAGGTTAATAGTATAGTAGATAGTAAAGTGAATAGTAAGGTAGATAGCAAGGTTAATAGGAAGGCAGGCAGCAAGAGAGGTAATAATATTAAGAGATTAAGGTTAGTCAGCATTAATATATTAGTGAATGAATATATATAATTTGGGATACCATAATGCTCAGAGATATATATTATAGAGTTAATTATAGAGTATATTAGCTGAATCCGTGGTTTATACACAGGCATATATATATATAATATTAGCCACATTCAAGAGAGAGGTAGGCAGTGAGATAGGCAGTGAGAGAGATAGTAAGGTAGCCAGCAAGGCAGGTAGCAAAGGAGGCAGTGAGCAAAGCAGTAAGTAAGGCAGTAAGCTAGACAGTGAGCTAGATAGTGAGGTAGATAGTAAGTGAGAGAGGCAGTAAGGGAGGCAGGCAGTAAGGCAGTGAGGTAGATAGTGAGGTTGACAGTGAGGTAGATAGTGAGGTTGATAGTGAGGTAGATAGTAAGATAGATAGTGAGTAAGGTAGCTAGTGAGACCAGCAGTAAGACTGGAAGTGAGCAAGGCAGTAAGGCAGTGAGCAAGATAGTAAGCTAGACAGTGAGCTAGACAGTGAGTGTAGCAGTGAGAAAGGCAGTGAGTGAGATAGCAAGACAGGGAGTAAGTAAGATAATAAGGGAGGCAGTGAGATAGGGAGTAAGTGAGGTAGCAAGATAGGGACTGAGGAGGGAGGCAGTGAGATAGGTAGTAAGGCAGGCAGTAAGCAAAGCAGTGAGCAAGGCAGTGAGTAAGGCAGTTAGTAAGATAGTGAGTGAGATAGTGAGCGAGTTAGTGAGGGGGGCAGTGAGTGAGATAGTGAGGGAGGCAGTAAGTGAGATAGTGAGGGAGGTAGTAAGTAAGATAGTGAGGGAGGTAGTGAGCAAGATAGTGAGTGAGATAGTAAGTAAGGTAGTGAGTGAGATAGTGAGGGAGGCAGTGAGTAAGACAGTGAGCAAGATAGTAAGTAAGGCAGTGAGTGAGATAGTAAGGGAGTAAGGTAGTGAGTGAGGTAGTAAGCAAGATAGTGAGCAAGATAGTAAGTAATATAGTAAGGGAGGCAGTGAGCAAGACAGTAAGTAAGATAGTGAGGGAGGCAGTGAGTGAGATAGTAAGTAAGATAGTGAGGGAGGTAGTGAGTAAGACAGTGAGTGAGATAGTAAGTAAGGCAGTGAGTGAGATAGTGAGTGAGATAGTGAGGGAGGCAGCAAGCAAGACAGTAAGGGAGGCAGTGAGTAAGATAGTAAGGGAGGTAGTAAGTAAGATAGTGAGGGAGGTAGTGAGCAAGACAGTAAGTAAGATAGTAAGTAAGGCAGTGAGTGAGATAGTGAGTGAGATAGTGAGGGAGGCAGCAAGCAAGACAGTAAGGGAGGTAGTAAGTGAGATAGTGAGGGAGTGAGGCAGTAAGTAAGGTAGTGAGTAAGATAGTAAGTAAGGCAGGCAGTGAGTGAGTGAGGGAGGCAGCAAGATAGGTAGTAAGTAAGATAGTAAGTGAGTCAGGCAGTAAGGTAGACAGTAAGATAGATAGTAAAACAGGCAGTAAGATAGGTGGTA